CAATCGCACGCGACTCCGTGCGCCCTGATTTCAATAAAAACATTATTAGTAGCGTATGTGTTCTACCAGACTATGTTCTATATGTATTTAAAATTTCATAGAGATCCGTTCAGCCGTTCATCCAAACATTCGCATTTATGATATTAGAAAGATAATTATGAAATGGTATATGAGATAATAAAATATATAAATAGTAACAAAAAGAAGAAACACTTTAAACGAATCAGTGTTAAAACGACAAGAGTTTCACTTACAGTATACAAACTCTTAGAGAATTATAATAATAGTTAAATGTTGGATTAACTAATTCACTGTGAGCATGTTTGTGGATAATCAAATAGTTGTGCCGACGCCGTAGTCAGTTTGCCCGGGGCGGCGAAGATCACACGTTATCTAATTAACTAATCAACTCCCTAACTGATTTCCCAGAACAAATAAAACTTCAGTTTGGGCACATGTTCAAGGAGCTTGAGTAACTTATGTCGATGTTTATTTTAAAGTCTCGTCAATTTCAAATAAATAAAAACATTGATAAGTTATAAAATATTTCCAGTTACGTCTACACAAGTGCGCTTTTCCTTTGTTTTCTTCTAAAAGTGAGTTTCCACTGCAGGAATAACCGTTCAAAAACTCACAAACACAACCTCACTCCTCTTTGACACAACAAATTTATCAAACTTTTTTTTCAATTAAACCTCAACTTAAGTTAACTTATTGTGATGAATTGGAATTATCAACATTTATTTATCACAAAAGCCCTTATATTTCTTCTTCCATCTCTATCAGCCGTCATATCCAAATTCGGTTGGCAACGCACTATGCCTTATGCAGATCTTTCACGCAAACCATACTTTGATCTTTTATTTAACTAAAACAAATGGATTTAATTAAAAGTTAATCATCCAAGCACTTGGGTACAATAAATTCACTCCTATAACAATACCCAACACAACATCTTACAGCGTAGGCTTACAAAGTTCTGCACATATGATACAAAGTGCCTTAAAGTACAATTAATGTACGGCAGTCACGCCACCTAAATCTTATAAGACTTTGAGTTGTGTTTTATACCGTACAATACACTTACTTCTAACAGGTAAAGACATCTTGTTTGTTTCATATTAAAGACATATTTGCATTATATTATGTAATCAAGTGACTATCAGAGAATTTCGTTCCTTTTATTTTATGGCTCACCTATATCACAACGCGCTTAGAATTGTACTAAACAACCTCTCCGCTCGATTGACTGACTTGACTGACGAAATACAACTAACTCGGCTGACACGTGACGTAAGCGCATGAGACAACCAATAATTTAATACACAACACAAAATGTTTTTAATCAAAAATCTTAATCTATTGTTATGAGATGAGATTAGTTATTCATATATATTTAATTAAATAAAAAATAAACAATTTGTTAAGTGATAAATGAGCCGTTTAATATTTTAAAATCACAATCATCAGTATTTTTTCCTTAAATTTAAGTGAAAGAAAGATAAATTAATCTCGTTTTGTATTTCTCCCCTCGACGGCGTAATGAAATTTTTCTACAGAGCTAAATAAGTCTCCGGGGAGGCGCGGTACAAATGAATTCATAACAAGGTAATATGCATGTAATACCGAATTCACTATGCTTTTGTTTTTCTGATTTGTTTTAAAAAGAAATAATCCTCGAAAAAAACATCTCAACAATAGTTTTTGTAATTGTAAAACATAAATTAAGCATTTATCTTACTAATATTATAAATGCGAATGTTTAGATAGATGGATGGATGGATGTTTGTTCGAAGTTATTTACAAAACGGCTGAACGGATCTCGATGAAATTAGGCGATGATGAAGAACATAGTCTGGAAGAACAAATAGGCTACTTATTAAGTTGTCTTACAAATGAAAAAAAATTAAAACTCTTAATACACTTTCAAGAGCTAAATTTTATTTTTTAAACATGTAAACTATTTAATGTTGAAGAAACTTGTTTGACTTTTTCTATTATTTATATGATAGCTTTACTGGGACATATATTTATACGAACGCAAAGTTAACTGTGTAGTTTATAAAGTTTATATTCGTAGCGTCCTCTGCGTTCTGCAGTCACAACTTGGCTAAACTTGTTTGTAAGAATAGGGACATGAAGTCAAAACTCCGAGCAACTCGCCTCGCACCTACCTCTAATTCTCCCTTAAACCAACATCCCCCGCTCGTAGATTTATGATCTTTTGTAAAACATTTCCAAGTAAGAAATATTGTTTTGTTTCAGTTGTGAATATTGAAATAGTTTCTCTACTTCTATTTGCGCTAGTAACGTGCAGTTTAAATAACTTTTACGACTATCAGAAGATAACTTCGACAACTTTTTGTCGTACAAAAACAAAAATTCCTACATAATTTAAGACATTATGAACTTGAATCCTTTTGCGCGAATGACGTGCTTACGTTACAAAGTCCAGTGTCAGAATGAATAGTGAGGGGACATAAACGTCGACATTTTAGTAAGGCTAGTGTGGAGTCAATACACTGGCTTATTTTCGGATTTTCTTCCCAACAATAAGTGCCTCTATCGCTAAGGAATCCTTTGATGCACCAAGTATTAGTTACTGACTAGCCGCGCGACTCCAGTCAAGCTTTTTGTATGGAACCGCGTGATCTATTTCTGCAACGGTCGCGCCTGTTATACAAATCGACGTACATCGTAGCCGCGTGAGGAGTCCAGTGAAAATGTGCACTAAGAAAAGGAAAACTATAATTAAAAGATCATTAGCTTAGATTCATCTAGGGAGCATAATAAGCTTAAAATAAAACATCTATTTTTACAGAATTTCTTATAAAGTCAAGATGTCATCGTTTCAATGAGACTGAGCGTGGGTGTTTGGGATAAGATTGATATTTTGGAACAAAAAAGTCAAGTTAAATTGTTTTCTATTTATAAGTGACTTTTTCCTGATAACTTCGTCTCAAAATAAATACAAAAATGGCTGCTAATACACTTGGTAAGTATAATTAAAACTGCTAAAGTCGATAACAATATTGAAAAAGTAAGCAATATTTAGTTGTATCTGTCGATAGGTCTTATCGACTATGGCCTAATCACCTAACTTAGGGTAGGCTCCGAGCCCCTCGGTGGTGACGTAAAGTGAGCTGATGATGATGATGATGATGATGATAGGTTTTATAACCGATATCATATTAAATGGTGTACAGCATTTACAAATGCAGTGTTCATTTAAGTTTTATTGTTCAAACAAATTGCCGCCGCTCTACAATCACGTCGCATTCTAAGTGCAACTACTTAACGCAATCTAAGCATTAAGTTAGGCACGACGGTGAATTAACATCGGAGATGTAATTAAGTGCTGCAAGGAATTTGCATCGTTTACTTCACTATGCAGATGGAAACGTGCGGAATTTGTTCACAATTTTTATTATTATACTTTTAAAGGCAGAAAAAGAAATCTAGATTCTATAAGATTTGATTACGGTAAGAAGGAAAAATGCCGTACAAAAAGTACAGCGTAAGATTTTTTTTATATAAAGAAGCAACTGTTGTCGTCCCCATTTCCGGTGTATTCAAAATGCTTAGGTATTGCAGAATAATCAAAGTGAACATAAAAAATAAATTGATTCATTCATGTTTTTTTTTAAATTGAATAATGTTTATAAATATTTTAATTTTTTTGTGCGTCAGTACTTATAAAATTGCCTAAGAGTAGTCAATATTACCAATAAAAGCAGTTTATCAATAAACCTTTTGAACACGTAACGCCGTAAAGCAAATGAACCGATTCTAACAGCCTCGTTAATTCCATTCAAATAAATTCACACGCACCAAAGATTAAGGAATATATAGAAAGGTCATCCATTCAACTTGAAGTTGATACTTGTCCTTGACCACGATACCACCTTATGTTAATTTTATGTAGAGAAAAATTAAGTGATTTGATATACTATTGAATTAGCTTGCTGGCTCGCTAATAGAACTTTTCTTTTTGAAAAATCCACACTAATGTGGACAAAGCTGAGTTCCAAAATTTTTTAGCAATTCTAGTTCTAACTTACTGGTTGAACGTAATGATTATTGAAGAATAAATTAAAAAAAAAAAACATTTTATGCCTAAATGTACATCTGGCGATTTTAATCTTTGCCACAGTCACAGCAATCCTCCATTGCCTTTATCGGAAGCTGGACAAGTTGGCAGAGAGCTAAGCTTTGTATTCAGGAAACACTTGATACCGTGTGTACTTCCCAAAACACAACATAGAACAAGGCAAGGTAAAATAAACTTTATGTTTATCTAAAATAGATTTGCAAATCAAACGTAACATGTTAATTGAATAGTGACATTTGAAGTATTAAGCAAACGGTAACGCACCCTAACCCCGCGACATTTTAGGGAATAGCTATACGCTTACACGATCAAGATAATTACGAAACTTAAGCAATGTAAACAAGGAGTTTCCATTCTCGTAACATCTCAATAACAATACCATCTCTTTTGCTCTCTTTGAAAGAACAGAGACAAAAATTCTCAAAAAAAGATCTGATATTCACGAGATATGTTCTCCGTAAACAAAGCCATCGCATTAACTTCTGACCTTGAAATTTTACTTCTGTGACTCTTGTTTTGATATTCCTGTCTTTGTCATTTTCAAAGAGAATATGCGAGATGGTAATATGATTTTATACATATATTATATTACGAAAGTCGAAACACACAGCCACAATAGCACAGCGGGCTTAGCACGAATGTAACATCATTGTAGCGTCATCGACAAAATTTGTACTAAAGTTTGTGCAGCGCCTCTATCGGACGTAAAGTACACCAAAAATCTATAACTAACATAAACGATAATAACTTAGGTAAAATTTCAATGATATGAGTGGTTTCATTATTTAGTAACAATGAAAAAGTAATATTTTCAGAGCTTTGAAAAAAACTACAAATTCAGTTCAATAGTTTATTTAAGCATTAAATCTATTTAATTTATAGCCAAATACATAAAACAATTGAAATTAACGCCATCTAGTGATAATCGCAAGAAACTATTATATTTTCCAGTAATCTGTTTCGTTTGTTTTCTCATAGAAGACCTTCATGTGGAGCTTTAAATATGCTGTACAATTCCAACAGCTGCTTGTTGCATTTGCCGTGCGTCTTCACATTGCGTACGTCTGCTCGTCTGTTGATGTGCACTCTGGCGCCCTCTACGCCAGACCACGCGGCCGCCACAGACACTAACTTGCTCCACGGCATCGCCCATTCGCCTCTGAGAAACTGAATGCAAGCGTTAACCGACCTGGTTTCTGAGACCAAAATCCCTATTTAAAACACATCACCTTATTTTTAACAAAACAGAGATAACAATATTTTTATAAAAGGGTCTCAGAAACCAACGATAAATATACTAAACTGAACAATGAGGTATGAAATTGTATGTATAAAGTTTATTAAATTGAGAATTTTAAGTGACTTATCATAGCTGAAAAACATGTGCTCTTAGAAAAAAAATCGCATTAATAAAAAACCCATGGTTACTAGAAAATTTAACATATTTCTTATTAAACTAAAAAACTGTACTAAGTATATCAACCTGATCAAATGGTCTTCTTCCAATATGAAACATAATATACAAGAGAGGCGCTTTGTTCAACGGTATGTTTACATCACAAGACTCTTGGACGCCCAGCTCTTTGTATATCCATTCTGAATGCAACTGAAGATGATCATACATTACCTAGAAATATTAAAAAAAAAACAATATAATAAATCGCGTAAAGACATTAGAAAAGTTTATAGAATTACTAAATATTTAACTATCCTTATAACAAAATTAATTTTTACAACAAAAAGTATTTGCATAATCTATAATGATTTGTTTATACTAACTCTTAGACTATCTCGGCCTGATGACGTCATCAATATTTGGTTCGTCAAGATGGCGGCGTCGCTGTCTCTCTCCGCGTTACTAGCTGGTACGCTGCCCTTTAAATAAAAAAATAGTGTTCTAGTGTACATAAAATTTAATAATTTATTCTTATATGTTTTTTTTTATCAGACTTATTTAATAGGATACTTTTTGCATTTATGACTTGTCAGTCTCATTGTGATTATTTACTACCAAAATGGGTGAAATGATTATGAGACTAAGGTTTCAGGTCTGTATTCTTCCTGAGTGTTATTAATACTTTTATTTACCTAAGTTTTGCTACAATTGTAACTTTACCTCTTCAAAAAACACGGCAAACTCGGGAAAATCCTCCAATCCGAACTGATCAGATATTTTAAATGTTCGTTTAGTTTGTGCAACTAGAGTTTGTATCTCTTGAGTATGTTTATCATCTTCATCAATAGAGCAAAGCGCTTCTGCTATCGCAAGAGCTATCGATGACGGAGTACTATGGGCCGCGTCGAAACTCACTGAACTGGATGGATCTAGATGAAACCGGTAATTTCATGGTTTAAAACTGTCTCGATCCGGTTTAAACCGGTTTAGTTTCAACTAAAGCTAGTTATGGTTAAGATAGCTGGTGATATGATTAGCAGAGCAGGCATTTGTAGTCGCTTTGTTGAATTTTAGCAGGTTCTTAGGTCTAAATGTTCCTACGGCTGAATGAATGCAGCAGTTAAAAGTTTATTAAAATAGTCGATGTCGCCTGCGAGACCGCTTGCGCGGAAATAAAAGAAATCTTAATAAGTAGCCTATGTGTTCTTTCAGACTATATTCTATGTCAAATTTCAGCAAGATCAATACAGTTGTTGTGGGGATACTTTCGAACAAACATCCATCCATCTAAACTTTCGCATTCATAATATTAATAAGAAGTAAGATAAAATAATTACTTGAAGCGGCCAGAGTCCGTATCCTGACTTGTTTTACTTTGGCTCTATTTTGTTTAGCGTTTAAATTATGCGCTTCACCGTTACCAACTGAAATAAACATATTTTTACCATAGATGGCGCTATTTTACATAAACACTATAGTACAAGAGACAATTAAAGTCAGAGCTCTATTAACATAATACTGTAATGTAGTCACCAGTTTCTTCTTTAAGAATTTCTTTCTTTGCCCAATTCTGTAGTTCCTCGTATATGATGGTGACCAACATCTGCAGCAGCACGGAGCCGCCGACAGGGCTCACGTTGGATGGTAATGTACCCTCTATGACGTCAGCAGCGTTCGTAAAACACCGCGGAATGCAGTCTAAAGACCGCGATATACAACTCAAACAGAGAGACATCGTCTGAAAATATATGTCTTTTTTACATTTACATTTCAAATACGAAAGTACGAAGTTTTGCTTGTTAATTTCACATAGGTGTGTATGTTCAAAGTTTTTTAAAGCTAAAATTTACCATTCCAGTCAGTATTGCATTTAATTATTAATATATTTGATTTAGAAAGTCTAAATTCGCAACTATTAATTTATATATAAGTTACAAAAGTAACAGATATGGTAGGTTTCTGAGACCAAAAAACACTGTATTTTTAATGATTGCTTATATATAACCTCAAAAACCCACGGTAAGTTTTATTGTCAAATCGTTACCGTAGAAATAGCGAAGAACGAGCTGAAATGCAAGACTGCATCTTAAATAGAATATTGTCAACTTTTTACGTATTTAAATGTAAACCTGATACATGGAGGCTCCACTTTGTATGGCATTCACTAAGATGGGAGGCACGAACTGCAGCGCAGTGCCCACTATGGCCAGTATACCAGCCAGCCACGGCGGACGACGGTCGCACCATACCTGACAGAAATATAGCATCTCGTTACTATACGACCACAATAACGTAACAATAGTAGTAGGCGCCGCCAATAACATCTGTAGTACGAATTGGCCGATGAAATACCACGAACATACAGAAGACGGGCTTCAAGTGGAAGCAATTCCGCCTTTCGTTTAATGAATGTGCGCGCAAAAAGCCTAATTTCAGTCCCTTTCCCTTCCCATCCATTTCTTATAAGGATAGGATGGGAACGAGAAGTGGATTTAACGGAGGTGGGGATATAATGAAAGATGTGTATCCCTCCTCTGTCGATTAAAGGTAGACAACGAATCTACGAGTTGCTGATGTGTGTGGGCTAAGCGCTTCGCTATTTAGGCGTAATTCTGATATTACGAAAACTCTTGCAAATTGTAATAGTAAAAACATACTTGACGTTTATCCAAACACGAGGCCCAATCCCGACCGGAGATTTCCAAAGCGTAACACAGAGTGGACTTGAGCTCAGCTTTACTGCCCACTGTAGCCAATATGTTGGTCAGTGCTCCCACACTACGAGCGTATTCCACGTCCACTGAAAAATATATTTTTTGATACCTAAATGTCTCTGTACTGTTACTAAGGACGTAGTTTAGGAAAAATACTCATTTGAGTTTAATATAAAATTCTATTAACAAAAGTTTTTTATGGGTTGAGCATATAAGTTAAGCCCAATTTATGTAAAGATTTTGATTTTTTTTTAATCTATAACAATCAGATTTTTACAAAATGTGTTTGCCAATTTTTATTTTTCAAAAAATTTCAAATGTACGTAAACAACTCACCAGCTCCATCACTCCTATACGTACAAAATCCATCAGCGGTACACAGAAAGCCGTCACATTTCTTGCGTTCATCTGTATCGTACCAGAGACCATTCGCCGGCCAGCGCGCATTGTCTACTGACATATTGCGTACGCCGGTGTGCAATAATAAACGCGCTACACGACACTCTCGCATCATTAATACCTAGTATAGTTAAATAATTCATTTAACACATTACATGCCACTTCTCGAATACACTTTAATACATATAAAAGTAGCATTGAAAGTGTTAAACTCTCCGAGGGAGAAAATCAAATGGATCGTAAGTTCTATTCTTTTATCAAAGAGTATTAAGTTTGTTGCAAAGGATTAAACATAAATAAATACGTTGCCTACGTAGATTTAATGTAACGTATCATGTTTAATAGTGAACTTTTAATAGCCATAAATTAAAAAAGTGATGAAGGCATATGTATAAATGTCTTAAATCAAGTATATCTGTTACCCGCGACTTTATCTGCGTGGAATTAAAAATAATGTAGTAAAATGATAGCCTATGTCTCCCTATAGGATAGTATAGCTTCCTAACAGTGAATGATTTTTTTCAAATCTATAGAACCTAATAAATACAAACAATCAATTTTTTTCTTTATAATATTAGGAAGTATAGATTACTTTGACTAATAAAGTCCAAGATGGCTGCGGCTGTGCTAATAATACAAGAAGCTCTAATGCAATCGCAGTTTTGTCCGGTAAATCTTTTGTGTGTTTTACGTTGAAGTTTTCCAAGCTGTCGAATAAATTTGGGCTAACGAACGTATACCATGGATACGGACAATCTTCTACTTGAATGTCTTTGTCTTGTTCTTTGAATACCTAAAATAAAAAAAATATTAACATGAGATCGAAGGATTCAAAAACAATGTATAACACTGTTTTTATTTTTTATTCTCTTTTAAGTAAAGTAAATTAAACAAAATAATATTGAATATATAATAGGGTAAGCGGGAAATCGTTATGAAAAAAAAAATACAAAGTTTACATCTTACTAGCTGTCGCCCGCGACCTCGTCCGCGCGAATTTGAAAAAAACTTAATTAGTTACCCATACGTTTTTCAGTCTACGTTCTACATCTATGACAAATTTCATCGAGATCCATTAACCGTTATGGAAATACCTTCTAACAAACATCCATCTATCCATCCATCCAAACATAAACATTCGCATTTATAATATTAATATTAAGATTTTGAAACGCATACTTACTTGATATAAGAAATGCAACTCAGCACCCCTGTATATCATACATTTGAATAGCTCGTTGCACTTAGCGTGCAGATCGCGTACGTCGCGCTGCCCCGCCCCCAGCCCCGCCCCCAAGCCCGCCACGTGCGCGCCACACCCACCAATACTGGGCAATAATTGTGCCACGCAAAGTAATATGTTCAGAATATCGTTTAACAATAAGGGTGTTGTTATTTCTGTGGTATTTGTCTGACCAATTGAGATATTTTACTGTTAGTATGTTGTAATTTTACGTATTTAAAATAAGTAATTAAGGTATTCAAATCTGTGAAGGCATTTCAAGATAACGACCTTCAGTGATAAATATCATAAAGAAGAAGATTTAAATTTATAGGGTTAACGGATTTTTTAATATAGAGTTTTAAAGCAAGGATTTAAAGTCAGTTGAAGTCTGATTTTTTGTTCCTTGTATACTTAAATAAGTTTAAAAATTGTATATTAAATGACCATTATGTTAATAATTATTACTGATTTTGTATACAAACCTGACAATATCTCACTGTCAGAATAGTTAATGTTTCATTTAGCATTCCGGCAAATATTCTTTGCGCCATTCTCGGAGGTACGGTGTCCCACAAATCTTTTCGACTACCTAAAATTAAACTTTTTAAATAAATTTTCAGTGGTAGAGCCCGCTTTAACATCTTTGCACGAATTGTCCCGGCTCGCCCGGTGAAATACCACGACCACACAGAATACAGGCCTCGAGCGGAAGCTATTCCAAGTACAGTCCGATAAGTGTGCGTCCCGGAGGGATAATTTAGTCCTCTTTCCCTTCCCACCCTTTTTCTTATAAGGAAAGGATGGGAAGTGGAAGTGGTCTTTCCGGATGAGAGGATGCATGGAAAGGAAAAATATTACTCTACTTGCAGTATGACAATAACCAAATAATCTTTAGTAGCTGTCGGATGCGACATCAATAAAATAAAATAAAAAATTCTTTATTGTCCTCTATGTCCTACATGTGTAACAATTATCATCAAAATCCGTTAAGCCGTTTCAGCGATACCTTCAAACAAACATCTATCCATCCCTTCATCCATTCACATTTATAATATTAGTATGATAACACTATGAGCGCCATCTAGTAGTCTTATCGTTAGACTAATCAAATTACCGTTCATATAGAGCCACCATCCTTGCACAGAGGGCGTGCCTGTAGCGACAGCGCGTTGGTCCTCTATAGGCCGGCCTCCCGCGTCTTGGAGAATGTATAGCGACAGGACTCGGTTGTGTAAATCTAACACTCTCTCGCCTACAGCTTCCGACATTGTCACGTAACGTTTGTAACATGCCTTAAAAGAAAACAATAAGATGGGCATTTTTTTGGTCCTTCGTTTTTTTATGTTCCATCCTAACAATATTATTATTCCAAATTGTTGACAATTACCTGTAACCGTGAATGCCTTTCAGTATTGCCACTTTCTTCTACATGTTGGACATAGTAGTAAAAAGTGTTTTTAAGTAACGCAGCAGCTCCCAACGTGGCTGTCAACACTGGAAGGTCTGCGTGGTCGAGTGCTTCTTGCGCGAGGGTATGCAGATGTTCTAAAATACAGGACAAAATAAGGACATTGATACTTTTAAGTTAATAAAAATAAACTTGAAGTTAAAATTATATCCCAGTGCTTTATAATTTTAATAAACTCGAAAGACTTATTGCAAGAAAATGGAAAGTTTTTGAATATATAAAGCCTACAAAATAGCTTCAAAATCTATTTACTTACCAAGTAAAAAGTCACCAGATTTTACAGCCAATTGCACAAATTTCTCCGGATCCGATGTCTTGACTACTCCACCAACACGATTCTCACCCTCTATTTTAACAAACATTCCAGATCCTCGACTGAAAAATATGTAACATCAATTTAAAAAAGGGTTTTGACAGACGGACGGACGACAAAGTGATCCTATAAGGGTTCCGTTTTTTCTTATGAGGTACGGAACCCTAAAAACAGTATTATGTCACATTGTATTATAGATTAATACAATGGAAGGAACATATCGGCTCTACATAATTACAATACATTTAGTTCTACTAAACAGTCAAGCTATGAAATAAAAATAATTAAAATAAGCGTTCTTCCAGATTATGTTCAACATCTATACTTAATTACACTAAGTTAAATAAAATAAAGAAAAATGTTTTTGTAATGTTTCAATGTTACTCTACTTACTTGAATGCAATTTGAAATTCCTCTTCCAACCACAAAACAATTTTGACAGCAGCAAATGAAACATTCCTTGGAAAATCCAATCTCCCACCAACAACTCCTTGACATATTTTTTCAGATAAGACAGTTTGTTTTTCCTGGATTTGTTGAAAATTCACTTTATTACAACAAAAGAAAATATAATATCTAGCTTAAGTTTTGTGGAATACCTGATAATATTGAAAATCTCTTTGCAATAGAATAGGAATCCTATCCATAATATTTCCATCTTCTATTACTTCCATTTTGACAACAAAAAAAAACAAAAAATAAAAATAAAAGCTATTTAATATTTAACAAAAAAAAAATTTAAAGACAAGAATGACTACAACTTCCGAAATCTATTTTAGTAACAACAATCTTTGATATTTCTTCTTGTAGCAACTTATGTAATGTTACGCCGTCATGCTTGTAGATCCAATATCCTCTATCTTTTAGTACAAGATCATATCGTTTAGGGCCAGATACGGGTGAGCTGAGCCAAATTTGCTTATTCGGACTTTGTCTGTTTATCACATAAGTACCATATTCCGCACCAAGTGCTACCGTTAAAACTCCATCCTGTAAGCAATAACACACAAAAAGTATAGTTAGATTTCATATTAAATAAGGAACAAGATTGTTTAGATTCTCCTTTGCTATTTATAATTGTTTATTTTATTATGTTTTATGCACACTCAGTGAACTGGTTTCATTAGACATTTGAAACATATTTATATTTTTATTAATTATTCATAAGGTCATTTACACTTTAGTTTTTTTTAAGGTTAGTGTTATTTTTAGTTATTGTAATAATTGTATAACGTACAAAAGTTTTAAATAAATATTAAGTTTTATTTTGTTTATGACATGTTTACTTACACTGTATGTTACGTCCGCACCCTTTAAATTAGGAGATCGTTCAACAATTTCTTCAAAATAATCACATAAAGATTCTAAGGTTTCGTTACAGATTTCTTCATAAACTATTGGATCCACTAATCCTGAAGTTTGTGAAATATTTGATGTATTTCTCAAAAATATTCTATTCGGAAGACAAGAGGTAGTATTGCAGGTATTTAGTGGAACACATCGATTTAATATAACTGGGGTAAAATTATTGACTTGCCTTAGTACCAGCCAACGGCTGGTACGAAATATATTCCTTATCATTTTAAGAAAACTATAGATTTTGTAAAACTTTCAATGGTTACATTAGTCTGACAGATGTCAGACAGTGACACTGACAACTGCCGATCACATGTGACAGTTAACATAACGTCCATAAAGCTAGTTTCACTAATATTTTATAGATGAGAAATTAAAAAAAAATTAGCTATAGCCGAAAACATTTTTATTTCTTTAAAATTATGTTGTGTTAGGATATGCCCTAGTATTATTATTATATCGAGATGTTTGTGTCATCCTATTTTACACGTTTTAAAATAGATACAATTCTCACTTATTAACTTCGACTAATATGTTGAAGCTGAAGAATGTTAATAAATTGAAAACTCAAATCCTGTGAGCTTGCCTTTTCAATTCGCCAATTATCGAGTTATAATATCGATACGTGATATTTCATCGACTATTCATGAACTAGTAGTCATGGTCATTAGATTACCCTAAGATTAACCTTTTTTTTTCAGAGGGGAATGCTTTATGCATACTCCGCGCCCCGGGGGGGGGACGCGGTAGTTATGTGGGATTCTCCTCCATAGCGGAGGCATACCCACTAAACCCCTCTGTTCCTCCAACGCATCGGGACGGAACCACGGGCACGCTTTCGCTCTCGTCCGCGGCCATCTAAGATTAACCTGCAGATCAGCTCAATTTGTATGATGTGAAACACTAGGCAGCTAGCGGCTTGATTTATGCCACATAATACGGAGCAATGTATACTTAGTTTAAAAAGAAATAAATTATATTTTATAATACGCTTTGAAATCAAGGAAATAATTAATGATGACTGCCATTTATTTCAACCTAAAATAAACTGTCCATTTTCTACGTATGTATATTGATTTAATACAACCGTATTGCGAGTCCCTTGGCCCTTAGCCGATACTATTGAGTTATTTGAATGGGAAAAACGAAATGAAAGGAAGATATATTAGTATCCATAGAAAAGATGGAACAACGACCTTCAGTAAATCCGCATAAGTCTGCGGTACGTCTTTTCCATCTATTTCATTTTATCTTTAAACGACAAAACGATTAGATCGTTGTTCTTTTAAAATTCAACATTTTTCTATTAAAAAGAAATAACTTTACGTAGTTACGCTTTGTCTCGTTTTGAGAAGAAATAATAACATCGTCTTCATCCAGCACTATTTTAGAATTTGCATCATTTAAGACACAAGATTTAGGAATAAAAAAGTATAACCTAACCTTCTTACAAGAAATGCGTTAAAGGGGCAACACCATATTGAAGTTTCTGAGTATTTCCAAACTGACCATGTTTTCTTTAATTTCAACATAACAGTCGTTTTGAAATCTTCCAATCTATCACTATTGTTTTCTATCTATTCAATCACTTTCAGTCTTTGCTTGAAACTGTACTAGTTTTCTTTTCTTTTACCTACATTTATAAGATTTCATTTATTCCCCTTATTTCTCTTATTCTCCTTATTGTCTTTATTTTCATTATTGTCTTTCTTATTTTCTGCAGCTTCATTAGAAACAGAAATCCTGTTCTGTGGCGGTAGCATCCATGGATTAGCTTGATATGCAGGGGAAAGAACAGATATTGATTTTTCCGACAGTCTTGGTATTGGTAAGAGGGAGTTGTACTGATTCCAATGAGCATTAATAAAGAATACATGTCTGTCGGCTACATCTTGTAATGGTCGGAAGTTTCCCATGTTAGGATTATCCCATGGATCCCAAAGCTTACGGAACTGTTCCATCTGTAATAATTCGGTTGAATAATTTAAGGACTAGAAATTAGCGTGTAATACATAAAATTATTTCACAAGGCTGAGTGAAAGGCTTTTAAAATAAAGTAATTCTAAAGTCACAAATATAATTCCCCTTTCTTTATAAGAATCATATCACACAAAGGCCCACTATGTCATTCCAGTTAGGTGTCGATTTAATTTCCTTTAATCTTACTAATATTACAAATGCAAAAGTTTAAATGCATGGATGGATGTTTGTTTGAAGATATCTCCGGAACGACTCAACGGATTTTGATGAAATTTGGTATGGATATAGAACATAGCCTGGTAGAACACGTACGTTACTTATAAAGTTTATATTTTAATTCCGTGCGGATGGAGTCGTGGGCGATAATTAATATTTTCAATATTTTGTTGAACATAACCTGTTCGGTAGAAGCATACAATATAACCCTAGGCACGATCCATCGGATGACATGATTCTCCCCTTTGACCGTCGTCAGAGTTCCCCAATAGAGGAAATAATCTTCATAGAACATGGGCATAATGCGTGACATAGGGTAAGGTCCGATTCGCGTATTCGTCTTAGCCTCTTTGATCCTGGGAAATCCTTCTAACACGCACTCCAGACGTTCGTCAGCTTTAACTCCGTACTGAAAAGTATTTTATTTATTTAGGAAGATTTGATACAAACACTTATTTATTTTTCTCATGATAGATTTAAACTTACTTTAATAATATAACAGACCATAACTACGCCATCGGGGTGTTTTAAAGCTTCCTCTTGCGTCAGATATTCCGATCTAAAAAATGTTGCCTGCAAACATAATATAATGTCTACTTAAAAAAATATAAATATAATCTCGTATCTGTTTCCTATGCATCATCACAATTCTTTCATTAGAATAACATTCAATATCCTAACACCCAACCAACTTTATAGAAATATTCAACAGAATAGGCTAACCGTGAGTTTCTGAGACCAAAATCTTTGACAGAACATATCGTCATCTCTGTCACTATATATATTTTAAACGGAGATTTAGATATCAGAAAACCACGGTAAGTGGTTTTGCCTTTAATTTTGTTTTGTCTCGACTAGACAGTTTGATATTAAAATTTATTCAGTACACGATAGTGAACTCTGCTTTTAACATTGTACTTTTATTTAAAAACCTAAAGAGAATAGCCTGAGATCCCTTGGCACCAATTTGTTCACTCTACTACGTATTAACGCGCTTGCTAATTAATTAAATAAGTTTTCCCAAGCGATGAAATTAGGTTTTATATTTACTAAAGCAAAAGTGTATTTGTCTTTAAAATTAATGTTATTGGCCTTTCTTTACACACTTAAGGGTGTATATAGTCCTTTTCAAATATCTTAGCGGCCCAAGGTCATTGGTGCGATGTTCAGTGCCCTCTGTCCGCATCTCGCTATGCCTAAAATTATGTACTGCGGAACAGCCAAGATATCAGAAAATTGCTATACATTTTAACGTCTAAACAAACATTGTAAAATTTGTGAAACTTTACAGTTTACTTTGCTACTTATATTTCGGGACGCTAAGAAACTTACAACGTATTAATATAATGGGTTAGTCAGAGGTAAGAACTCGTTAAGACGTCTGCACTTGTTTATTCCACCTTACAAATTACGGATAAGGCTATAAGTTGACTTGAACCTTATAATATTAAGATTGCCTTACTCATTACTATTCTTAGAGACTAGAAAGTTGATAGAATTCCGTTTAAATTAATATACAAGTCAAGGTCCTTAATACAATCATACAAAAAAAAAACACACCTGCATTTCCCCGGGATGTAATCTTTTATCAACCGAATGTTCACTTCCTTTCATGAAATTAGGTCCCCAATGAAAATGTATTTGAGAAAAGACATGTTTCTCCAAAAGGGGACCGCCTTCGAGATACGGCCTCTCGGTCCTCCATTTAGCACCAAGTAATACTGGAAATAAAGTTGACATGTTTACAGTTGATTTTAACAAAACAATGCTGACCGTACTTAGCTGTTGTAATACATTTTTTTTTGCTCGTCTTGTTATTTTTTGTAAACACTACCAAATACTTTTTTCGTACTCTGTTATTATTATTTTGATATTTATAACAACAGCTGTATTAAAACATAGTTGCGAAAAGGAATAATTTTGTAGTTTCGTCAAGTACCAACTGGTTCAATAGGATGATGATTGTTGGAGAAAAATAGATTACGATTTCAATCTTTTACTAAATTTATGAACTTCTTGCGCTTCAGTAAGCAGTCATGTGGTATGCATTTTTTTATAATTCGCTATTAAATTATTTCCTATATTAAGTAAATTAAACAGTTCGTATCGTATGACATAAACAAATTATGGGGAACTGACCGCCAACCTTCGTGAGTCGGAACGACATCTCAAGAAGAATTTGCTTATTATTTAACTCACCAGTATATCCAGTGTTTGTTATCTTTATTTTATGTGGATATATATCGAAATTGTACCATTTCAATTCAGGACATTTGTAAGGAATGGAGCCCGTGATTGATACTTCAATAGGTGTTGGCAGATGGCCCTCGACTTTGCTGAAGTAATAAATATAATCAACTGTTCCTATAGGAGGAACTTTCTCTTCACATTCTTCTTGTACATTGGTAACTGCAAATTAATTTAAGTTCGCCCATAAAATTAATTCTCAGGGTGTTATTGATTAAAAAGATTTTAGTTTTACGGTTATTTGCACTATGTGGGATCAATTTTAAAGCTTGAATTATTTCATAGTCAGTAAATTAACCAACTAGCACTGGGACTGCGTTGACTAGGATCTAATCACCCCTCATTTAGGGTATGCTCCGAGACCCTCAGTGGAGTCTTATAGTGATGATGATGATACAGTAAATTAATTATATACCTTCAGGTTCTGGTATAGGCACAACAATAGGCATTTCTTTACTTAAAATTTTCAAACATTTCAGATTTTACAACTTTCAAACAAAACTGTCAAAACTTCAAAGTTGTGCTCTGTTGTTGTCTATGTAAAATATTTGTATAGATAATGTAAACAGTTAGGTTTTTATTTATGATTTATATTAAAGTTTACAATACGGGATATGTGATAGGAAGAAATGGCATCATTTTGAGTTATATTATTAGAAGATTGCGGGAGTGTTTAGATCTTGTTTGCGTTAGATAGCTTTTAATTTTACTATATCTATGGAAAAATATTATTGACATAGACAAAGAGTATAATAAGTATACTATAGAAAGAGGGGCAACTCGCACGAAGTCGTGGATCCACGGCGATTGTGGCGCTCCATGCGTATAATCGGTGAACTAATTTTTTTTT